TCGAAATCGGCAGCCTGGTGTTATGAAGGAACTAGAAAGACGCCCGCGAAGGGAAATTGGCCGTGAACTGGGAAGGGCCTTACCGCATCCACGACACCACTGGTACCAGGGCATATTACCTCGAGCAACTGGACGGAGAACCACTACCACGACCCTGGAACGCTGCTAAACTAAAGCAGTACTATAGTTAAAAACCCTTAACACCGAGGACCCTCGCTGTCGACACCCACGTCCGGTCAACGAGGAAAAACGCCCGACCCCGTAGAAAGGCCAAGGTACAGGCCCGACCTACGCCCAAATGACATAACATCGTTCAACAGACGAGCATGAACGATAGTGCCCGACGTGGACACCTCAACCGAGCTCCACCGTCGAAGTATCTGTAGGGAAGAACACCCAGCTCGCGATGGGCAATTCACGCCGCGGGTGAACAACCCCGATCCAGGTCATACACCCGAACAAGCGGCTTCGCTCCGCACGCCCGACGAATCTCGAAGAACGTCGGACCATCCAAAAGGGTCGAAAAAGAATCTCTCCTCGAGGTCGTTACTTAGGCGAATTTCGCCACCAAATAGAAAGCCGAGCACGAGCATGACCCGAACAAAAGACTTAGGCAAATTTGCCAACAAAGTCACAACCACATACGGGCAAGACTCGGGGCCATAACTTAGGTCAGTTTTATCGCAAAATATCAAAACATAAACACGGGCAAATAATCAAAAGTCGAAACAAAAATTCATTCGATAAGCCCGTAGGCAATAAAACAAATAGAGATAAACCGACCAAGAAGGCCGACGATGTTCAGGAATTACAAAGAACAGGCACGCAGGCCCAAAAAGTAAAATATGAACGGGCACGCAGGCCCCAAAACAACCTTCAATAAAGGCGCGCAGGCCCTACTAGAATCTCACAGCTAGACTTCCCCGGGGCTATCACCGCCGACAACAGGAGACTCGGGCGGGGGCACGACCTGGCCGTCGATGATCTGAGACATGTAACCCACTCCTTCAGTATTCAGATCGGAATTCAACAGAGAGAGCTGGCTAACCGCGGCTTCAAAGCCATCTGCCAAAGCACCGACACAATCCGCCTCGAGAAGGTGAATACGAGCAACCAATTCTGACCGACTTCGCAAAGGAGCTGTCTCCTCCGACTCATCCTCGGCAGGGAGCATGGCGGCCTTTAATTCCTCGACCTCTTTGGCGAGGCGCCCGTTGTCAGCCTCCAAGCGTTCCCGGTCCTCACGGAAGTACTCCCTCTCCTCGACAATCTTCCCCGAGTTCTCTTTCTCCGCGGCCAGCAGCTCGGCTGGCTCGCGGAACATCTCCTCGGAGCGCTCCAGGGAAGCCTTTAACTTTCTTGAGCTCGCAGTAAGGGCAGCTTTCTCCTGTTCCAGCTCCTTGATGCGATCAAAATCTTCCCCCTCCTCGGCCAGCACAACGGCCATCTCGGCCATTTTGACCATCCCGACCATGTTGGCGGCCAAATGCTTCCTCCGATTCTCCTTGCTCAGCCGCCTAATGGTATCAGCTTCGTCAGCACTTACGGACAAGGGAAATCCCTCGAAGAAACCCTCCTCTTTAAAACAGGGGGGTAACCCGAAGGACCTCACAGCACCAGAGTCCTCGCCAACCTCCGGTTGGCTCTCCACCCGGTTCCTCTTCCTCGATATCAGGTCGGTATGTGGCTCGACATCCTGAGCGTCCGGGGACCCTCCAGAAGCATCGCCTGGGCAAGTTGGCGGGCCCATCCTCGTCGCCTGAGGAGCTCGCACCACTCTCTTGTTAACCTTCTTATCCTGTGTCAGCTTCAGGAGCCTCTCCTTTCGTCCAGCCATGAGACTTGCATAAAATGACCCTGGGTTAATGACGAGCAAATAAACAAGCGAAGAAAATCAAATAAAACGAAAAAAGTAATGACCTAGCAGGTTCTTGGCCTGCCCGAAGGACTGGCACTCCACGAGCGCCTTCGTATCGATAGGCCGGGCCTCAAAGGTCGGATAACCATCTTCGTCGAGAATATCCTTTCCCTCCCTCGTGGCCCACCGGGCAGGGAAGAAACTATCGACGTATCTGCAGAGGGTACCATAGGCCTCTTCATCTTCGGTACTCATCCCACCCGCGGGCGTATGGTAGTGCTCGATCCCGTGCTCGTAGTGACGCGAGGTCCAATGCAAAGGAAATTTGGCCACACGCCCCAACACCGGGCGTCCCTCATCGTCTAGAAGAGCCTCCCCGTGATCGTCGGTCACCACCGTTTCTTCCTCGTATACGGACTCTAGACTAGTTTTGGTAACCGGCCGCACGATGTACCATTTGTCCTTGAACCCCCGGACAGAATCCATATACATCCTGAACAGTCTCTTCGACTGTTTCAGGGAAACCCAATTGTGCCTACCTCCCCGAGACTGGCGCTGTAAATGGAAGACTCTGAAGAAGAGAGGTATGGTCGCCCCAATCTTTAAAAAACGACACGTCAGTTCGAACGCCCGGAGGAAAGCGATCGAGTTGGGGTGAAGCTGCGACGGGGCCAGTTCCAGATGACTAAAGATCCCGACCTGAAAATCACTAAAGGGGAGCTTTAGTTCAAGGTCCTTGAAAGCGATCTCATACATGGGAAACCCGTACTCGGGGAACTCCGAGCAGATCCGCGCGGTCAGAGTCGGTCTGGTGACGACGAAGTTTTTCTGAAAGTCGGGCTGACTACCACCCTGCTCGACGATAGTATATGCACTCCGGCTGCGTCGACTGTAAGCAGAAGCAATACCTCTGGGCTCGGAGCCCACCCACTCCAGCAGAGGATCGTCGATGGTATCGACCAGATTCACATTCTCCTCGGTGCTTTGATCTTCCACTTCATTGCGCTCCGAGGAACACGGTTCATCCGCCATTGTTACTTGCAAAGCACAGGAAGCCAATCAATTGGGGAGTAAATCCACACGCTCGCCATAACTGACGGGAAGAAGGGCACGACCAACCGAGTCACACTCCACACACGGTTAAAAATTTGAAGTTTCGAACAAAAGAGTGGAGTCACCTCTTCGACGCCCAGATACCGCGACAAGTCTTCCTACAAATCGCCTAAGTAGGCCAACATCCCGGCCAGTCACGAATATGTCGACCTAGGCTATGAACATGGCGAGCGATATCATAAATCCTAAAACTAGAACTATGAATTTACCGGGCACTACCACGAATTAGGCGCCCTGAATCATGAAGATCCCGGGCAGCACTGCGATTCAAATACCTAAACTATGTATTTACCGGGCACAAACATGCGTTTGCCGGGCATAAACATGGATTTGCCGAGCCAAAATACGAATCTATCGGGGCTAATCCCAGACGCACAGTCTCTAACGTACAAAACAATGGAAAATATCACATACCACAGAAGAAAAACATGAGGGATAAGACACTTACTTGAAATCAGGAAAGAGATACGGCGGCGGAGGAGAGAATCAGCGGCGGAGAGCACGGCGGTCCTATGAAAAACAGCAGCAGTAGAGACAGAGGAAGGAGGAGAAGCGCGAAGAGGAAAAACACATTTTGGGGCCCAAGGACCCTATTTATAGTGATGACGTGGAATACAAAACGTCACCCCGGGGAACCACGAACCTCCCTCCTCGACGCCTAGCTCCCCTAGGCAATGATGACCCTATCTTCGATAGGGTGGCGTCACGGTTCCCAAGGGATGCCTCGTGTGCTCAACGAACACAACCCGTCGAGAGTCCCCCGAGCACTCCTCGAAAGGAATTATCTCACGAGCGCGACACAGGGGAAACTCCTCGAGTAACCACGGGGAACTAAATCTTTTGTCCGAGCACGGGACCTCGTGACGGAGGCGAGCTAAGATCAAGTCATGGCTCCTACTCCAGGAACCACGACTTGGGGGGCTCCTGTTCTGGACTGGGTCGGGCTGGCCCAAAAGCAAGGATGAAGGCCCAATCCAAACGGCCTTGCAGGGGGTCGCACCGACCAAGAAGCTACAGCCGTGTCCACGACATCCTCGACTTCATGCAGTCCAGCTCGACCTCAGCTCGAGCACTCCTCGTAGGGCAGACTATGACCATTACACCATCACCTGGATTCCGAAAAGACCGCGTCCCCGTCCGTCCGTACTTCTCGCAGAACACCCAGGAATGAGACCACGTGCGGGTCCCCACTACACACGTAGAACCTGGCAGTTCCTTCATTGGACCAAACCTGCCCGGCCCAATGAAGGAACCTTGGCCCAGCGCTGGGGGCTATAAATACCCTCTGTTCCCAGAGGGTCAGGTATTCATTCTTTTACCATACACACACTTTCTTGCCTGCTCGTACTGCCACTTACTTTAGCATCGGAGTGCCTTGCAGGTACCCCATCTTGTTCAACTTCAGCTCGGAGTCAGTCGTGACGGTCCAAGTCTGATCTGACAAGATTAATTATTATTATTATTATTATTATTATTATTATTATTATTATTATTATTATTATTATTATTATTATTATTATTATTATTATTATTATTATTTATTATTATTAGTTTTGTAAACCTAGCTTAATTTAAGATTTTGATTATATGTCATCTTACAAAATTTCTCACTCTTTCTTACTTTTGTTAATTATCATTTTACATTTACTTAATGATAGTAATTTTCGATATAATAGCAATAAAATTAAATATGTGAGTGGAACCTCATCAATAACCTATCTTTAAGACACAAACTTCATAAAATCTTAAAAAATACCTTTTAGAGTTTTTTGGTATGCATGAGATTGTTTTATTTTACGTATTAATGTTTGAGTTAGTCAAATTATTGTTACATGAACTTGTATAAGTCCAACCTTAGAGTAAGTCCAACATAGATTTAGCTAAAGGTGGCGCTAACTAGATGGATCTTCGCCACCAACTTAGAACCACACATTTCATAGATTTATTTACTATAAATACATAACTCCGATTCTTCGTAATCACAATTCACATAACTTCATTTTCTACGTTTTTGCAAAAGCTTTGAGTAATGGCTAGAAATCCAAACATCATTATGTTCTCTTTAGTTGTGTTTTTTCTCGTACAAAGCAAAGTAAATCCAAATAACTTCTCTTGTTATTATGCTATGCTATGCATACCTTCATCTTTTATTTTATTTTTCTTATAATTTTTTTCCTTTTAAATATGTGAATCATAAAGAGAGTATATATTTACGTTATGTTGTTTGGATGCATGTGCATGCATTTGATTAAATCGTTATGTTGTTTGGATGCATGTGCATGCATTTGATTAAATCATTTACGTGATTTTCTACAAATGTATAAAGGTATGGTTTATATTTTTTTAATATTGTATAAATAATATTGTATTTCTCAGGCTCAGGATACACCAGCAACTCTGGAAGCTCCACCAGCAACTCCGGCAACTCCAGAAGCTCCTGCAACTCCTGAAACTCCACCAGCTCCGGATACGCCAGCTACTCCTGAAACTCCACAAACTCCATCAGCTCCTGCAACTCCAACTCCATCTATGGCTCCATCTCCATCTCCATCTCCGGCTCCATCTCCAGCTCCAGCTCCAGCTCCAGCTCCAACTCCAGAAAACCCAACAACTAAGAAAACTCCATCAACTCCTGCAACTCCAACAGCTCCGGTGACTCCATCAACTCCAGCGGCTCCGGACACTCCAGCAACTCCGGCAGCTCCATCAGCTCCGGTGACTCCAGCAACTCCTGCAACTCCTACTCCGGCAACTCCTGATCCAGCTGTAAGGCTTTTCACATGTTGTATTTTTTAATTCGGACAATATTTACGACAATATTTCTTCTCATGTTAATTTCATCTTCGTTCAATTGAGTTTCAGCATGGCACCACAGAAGGCAGTCTTAAACCGGAAGGTACTTATTCAATACAAGATATATATAACTTTACTCACAAATTAATGTTACAATAATATTCACTAAAATTATCTGTACTTGGTTAAAATTGCAGAATGTGCTCCTAGATGCGAAGATAGATGCGCAAAAACACATCACAAAAAACCATGTTTGTACTATTGTAAGTATTGTTGCGCCAAGTGCCTCTGTGTGCCTCCGGGAACTTATGGAAACAAAGAAGTATGTCCATGCTATAATGACTGGAAGACTAGAGATGGAGGACCCAAATGCCCTTGAGCATATTGCTTCTACTAAATTGCTTTCTTATCATGTACAATACCATGAAATTTGTTGCATGTTTCATTTAATTAGGTTTCTTATTCTTCAAGTAATAAAAGAAGATTTTATATCTACTTGTGTTGATAATTTAAAAAAATATAACGGGGATAACTTCACTACTCATCACAAAAAGTTGGGTATGAACCTTCAACTAATCACATAATATCATTTAATTTTAACTTATTTAATTATTTATTAAATAATACAACTGTGTATTGTTTTCAATGCATTTTACATTAAGGATAATCTTATCTAACTTTTTGAGTTGGATAAATAAGAATTCACCCAATATAATTAATAGTCTAAAATTTGATGAAAATATTTAAACCATTGAAACTAGACTTAAAAAATAGTTATAGGACAGACACTTCTATAACATTTCTAATGTTTGGTCGATTACAATTGATTTTGAGTATACTATTTTTTTTTGTTATAGATTGAGATTGATAATAAATATTGTACATCTCAGAAATATTAGTTTTAATTGGGTCATAAAGTCGTCTGAAAAAGGAATAAAACAAGTATATATAGCCTACGGAGACAAAGAGTATCAGGGCCGAGTTGTAACTCGATTAAAGGTCAAGAGTAACATGTATCATATCCGAGCAGCAACCCATCTATGATACCAACCCGGATAGTGTATGTAAGCGGAGCACATATGCTCTTAGCCGGCTAGTAGCACGACCCCATTAATGAACATAATGATCGTCAGCGCATTAACACAAGCGTTATGCCATCTTGAACGCTCCTATTCATGGTGGCGGCAAAAATTATACGGTTCAGTAGCCTGAAAGTCACTTTTTGAATGATGCTCTTAAATGAACTCCAAGAAGACTATATAAAGGGGTTCTCGCCAGAGGGATAAGCAAGAAATATACTCTTGAGTGCATATAAACACCTTCGTGCCACTCGAATACCCCAAAATCACCATATACTACGACTCTCCTTGTCCCTACAAGGAAGTTACTCAGTTTAGTGTTTTTCACAAGAACATTTGGCGTCCACCGTGGGGCCTCGGTAAAACTTTCCTAGGCCACACATCACATTCAAAAGAATTGCCACTGATGGGAATCCTCCAGACATGGCCCGTAGCTACTAGTCATGGTAGACGCTCTCCGACAGCAGAACAAAACACTGCAGGATAGCGTGTAAATCCTGCAACAGTAAAGCATAGAGGATGGGGAGAATGAAGAGAAGATTCTTAACCCTCAGCCACTCTCGCAAGCGATACAGGACGATCAAGTTCCCGAAAACTTCATGTCACCATCGCTCACATCTTTCAATGGAAAAACCGACCCACATGAGCATATTATCATCGTCAACAATCAAATGGAGCAAGTAGAGCCCACCGACTCGTTAAAGTGTAAACTCATGGCGGGAAATTTTAAAGATGTGGCTCTGAGGTGGTACATGAGCCTTCCTCGATTGTCCATGGTGAGCTATCAGGACTTAACCAAAAAAATGGTAAAACACTTCTTGGTGAACAGACACCAGAAGGTTTCAACAACAACCCTATTAAATGTTCGGCAGGAGCATGCAGATTCAATGAAGAAACCATCAAGGTTTCACACCCCAACCAAGAATTGTTTGTTGGAGCATTCCAACACGGTCTTCGAGCCGGGCAATTCAATGAATCTCTGGCACAGAAGCCTGCGTCCAATATGGAAGAAATTATCACCAGAGTCGAGTGCTACATCAAGGAGGAAGAAATTAAATGGCAGAAGCGGTCCAAAGATACCATCGAAAAGACGAAAAGTAAGGAGGAAGGGTCAGGACGCAGAAAAGAGCATTCTCGGTCACGTGACCGGCCCGCTTCAAGGCTATACCAACGACCCTTCGATAATAAGGAAAACCTAACACCATTGAATACCAGAAGAGGAGTTATTCTAAAATAGGTAGGCCATCTGAATTTGATACCTGAGATGGGACGTAAAACAAGACTAAATGTCATACTGGGGAAGGACTCGAGGGCTTGGTGCAGCTACCACCGACTCTGGGGTCACCATACTAACGACTGCCATCAACTCAAAAAAGAGATTAAAGCACTAATACAGAGAGGATATCTCTTGACATATGTGAAAGATTCCAAGTCACAATCTAGGAAAAGAAGTCCCCAGATAGACGACCCTAACTTGGAAAGGCCCTCTCATGAAAAAGGAAGAGATATCGAAGAAGAGCATGAAACAAAGACAGCCTGGCATACACTTAACACAATTGTCGGTGGGTTCGCAGGAGGGTGAGAGACCAGCTCAACCAGGAAAAGGTATGCTCGTGTTGTGATGCACATCACCCAGGAATCTTTTGAGGGACGAGAAGGTGACCTAGATTCTGTAAGCTTTTCTAAACGAGATTCCATCAGAGTCTCGACCCACAAGAATGATCCAATGGTGATAAAAGTGTAAACCAGAGGTTGGAGTATAAAGCGAGTTCTGGTGGATCCTGGGAGCTCAACTGATGTGCTCTACTGGGATGCTTTCAAAGTTTTGGACTTCGATACATCTGATTTGTTATGGTTTAAAGGAAGCTTGGTTGGGTTCTCAGGGGAGAAAGTCCACATGCTCGGACACTTGCTGTTGTTAACCACCTTCAGAAATGAGGCAAATGCAAAAAACAGTCTGGGTAAGATATCTAATTGTTAACTCCGCCTCCCCTTACAACATTATCATAGGCAGACCATATTTCGACGCTTTGGAAGCGGTGCTTTCAACCTTATACCTCACCATGAAGTACCCAATGGGAGAGGGTCAGGTCGGCATAGTCAAGAGCGATCAAGGCCTAGCAATAAAGTGCTACAAAGACAACTTGAAACTGAAGAAGAAGAGTCCAACAAGAAGTGCTGAACAGTCCAACAACCTCAAAGTCTATCTTGTGGACATAGATCCCGGAGGCGACCCGACTGAGGACAGTTTAACACCTAATGAGGAGACCAAGGAGGTTCAAATGGGTCATCTTCCCTCCGAGAACACATACATCGGTGCTAACTTATCCTCAAAAGAAGAGGACGAAATCATACAAATTTAAAGGAGAATATGGACATGTTCTCCTGGAAACCATTGGAAATTCCAGGGATATACCCCAACATTATGTGTCACCACTTGGCATTGGATCCTGACGTAAAGCCAATATCTCAGAGAAAGCGGAAAGGGGGTGAGGAGAAAAGAAAAGCTATTACAGATGTAGTTGAAAAACTTCTCCAAGTCGGTTTCATCAAAGAAATCAAGTACCCAACCTGGTTGTCCAATGTGGTAATAATTAGGAAGAAATCAGGAAAGTGGCGTATGTGTATCAACTTTACCGACGCCAACAAAGCCTGTCCAAAGATCCATGTCCATTACCCAATATTGATCACCTTATAGATGGGGCTTCTGGGTTCAGACTGCTCAGCTTCATGGATGCTTACTCTAGGTATAACCAAATCCGAATGAGCCTGGTAGACGCTCCAAAAATGGCTTTCATGACCAACCAGAGTGTGATACAGTGGGAGAACTGACTTGGTTGTTTTGCGTTTTATTGCAAATGTTGCGGTTAGCAAGAGTCACCACCGACTTTTCTTTTATCCAAAAGGAAAGGTGAAAAATCACAAGAAAGACCTTTGAGATTGTTTCTTGAGTTCAGGGGGTAGATTATGAAAAGGGAAGGTATTAGCACCCTTTTCATCCATGGTTTTCCATGGGATCTTAGTTACTTTCTATATCACTTGCTTTTGTTTGAAATTGTGCTTTGTGTGGTTTTGAAAAGTATTTTGAAAAGGTGCCATCATTTAGGTAAACTTTGTAATGATTCTCGTTCGTAAGAATGTATACTGTTCTGGACTGGGCCCACCTTGGCCCAAAGTGCAAATAAAGGCCCAGATCCAAGCACCTCCTCGGGGAATGCCCACAATCAGTACATCACCAAAACATGCCCGACCACAAAGTACATCTGCAACGCCCGCCTGCCTTCGACGAGCAACGTCCACGACCAAGGGAGCTCCAGCTCGAGTCCAGCTCGAGCATCTTCCCCGTAGGGCAGATTCTGTCCACTATGACCGTTATGGAATCCTCAAAACTCCGGAAAGACCGTGTCTTCGCCCCTCCTCATTCTTCGCAGAGCACCACCCAGGAAGGGGACCACGTGCGGGTCCCCACTACACACGTAGAACCTGGCAGTTCCTTTATTGGGCCAGTTCTGGTCAGCCCAATGAGGGGACCTTGTCCCAGCGCTGGGGGCTATAAATACCCTTTGTTCCAAGAGGATCAGGTATTCATCTATTACACGCCTATACACTTTTTGCCTTCCCATTCCGTCTCTCATTTTGGAATCGGAGTGTCTTACAGGTACCCCCCCATCTCACTCAAATCCATTTCGAGCCAGCTGTGACGGTCCAAGTCTGATCCGGTAAGATCAGTGGCGCCGTCTGTGGGAAACTAGCTTCCCCGTCTTACAAACTCTCAAAGACCAAAGCTAAATACCATCTTCCACCGTCATGGCTGACCAGACTCGGGAAGACCAGAACGTTCGCGTCGTCGATGCCAACAACAACCTCGCGGACAAGAACGGAATCCCCGACAACACCGGCAACCCCGATCATAATACACTCCCCGGAGGCGTCATCCCCGGGCCCTCAGGCCACCGCGACGGAGCCACGACCTCATCTTCTTCAGTCCCCCCTCCACTCGAAGAAGGCAATACGGCTCCCCAAATTATCTAGCCGCCCAATTCCAGGAGGTCCCCGTCCCCGCTGGGACAGATGCCACGACCAAAGCACTGTTCGCGGCGATCAACCAAACCAACTACCTCATCTTTGCCCAGGGGGAAAGATTGAGGGCGCTGGAGGACGACAGAAGACCCGCGAGGAGACATAGGAGGCCTCAGACCCCACCTCCTCGAAGAACAGAGATATGTCTCCCATCTCCCCCGCGGAGACAATACGGAGACACCTCCCGAAGCCCTTCACCCCAACAACCGGGGAGATGACC